TTAAATTGATGCACTTACAAGTCTATGTTTTCAGATCTTTAATACATCAACCGATGGAAATTAGAGGTAGATCCACCTTACTGCAGGCGTTTGTGATGCTTTCCTGTCAGCTGTTGACATCAGACGCATAAACAAAAGAAAGAAGAACATTTAAATGACTAATACTTTCAAGTGGTGCTCAATCCACAAAATAGTCGGGGTAAATAAAAAACTAGTTAAAGTAGCGTGAAAACTCAGAAAATGTCACATGAACTCCAAATATTAAGTTGTAGAACTTTTTTACTACTTAAAGGTCCCATGTCATGCTTTTCTGGTTATTCCCCGTCCCCTTGTGTTATGAAGGTTTTTCTGCATGTAAACAGTCTGCAGAGTCACAAACCCTCAAAGTACACCCTGTAGCAAGTAAAACTCTAACACAGAAAAGACCTGTCTATGCTGCCCCAGTTGTGCACCGACAGAAATGTTAAGAGAGTTTCATTTTTATGTTGTTTTATGGTTGTTTTGTCACTCACCATTTACCTGTCATTCCAGGTTTCCTGATTATCCACCTCTTGTGTGTCTCCCGTGCTCATCAGCACCAGCCCCGCCCCTGATTGTTTCCACCTGTGTCTTGTTATCCTGTGTTTAAATTCCTCTGTCTCCCATGTGTTCTTCGTCAGTTCGTCTTGTCTCATGCCTAGGTCAGATCTATGCTCTCCTTGATACCAATATGTTTTTGTTCCTCACTACGTGAGCGATTTTCCTTTGTTCACTTTTTGTCATCTCATCTAGAGATTTGATAGTGTTTATTTCTGTTCATCTTTTTGAAAATAAAGTATCTTACAAATAATTTACCTCTGTCTCCTGGGTCGTGCAATTGGGTCCTATACCCTGAGTTCCTGAGTTCGTAACAGCCCCAAAACGCCTTGCTGGAGATTTCTCTTTTTCCATTGTTTGCTTCCTGGGTTCTGTGACGTGTGAACACCCAAATCAACAACAAATGACCGGATTGGCCCAAATGGACCAATCCGCGGAGCACCTCACACACCAGGATCCCTTGGCTAACTAATACCCCATTCACACCAACGGTGTTTCGGGGCCGGTTCGGAGCTGGAGCTTGAAAAGCACCGGATTTTCCTGTTCACACCGCAGCGGAGCAGCCTCTAAGCTCCGGAATCCGGTTCGTTTCGAGCACCAAAAAGTTGTCCGTCTAGAAGCAAGAACCGCATACGTCACGCTTACGTCGGAGGGGGGCGAGATTAACCTGAGATAACAGTTAAGGCGAGTACGGCAAATAAAAGTTGTAACCAGCAGTAGCGCTGAGCAAAGTGACTAGAACGCAACCACACACTTGTAAAAAAAAAACTTTATAAAGTCAGGCAACACTAACCAGGCTTCGTGTGATTCTGTTTATTTGTACCTTACTTTGACCATCCGTTCGCTGTTATTGATCATTGTGGAGAGCAGGCAGACGTTTTGTTTGTTATTATAGCAGCTATCGGATGGAATCAAGACATGGGCTGCACAGGTTGTCATGTCCGACTATCACAAGTAGAATCATAATGAAAAATACGCCGGTAAAAAGTGCCTGTAGAAAACGGCGTAGCAAGTAGTCAGTTTAGCTTCGGTTGCTATGCTAACATCACCCATGTTATACCAGAGAAACTTTCATAACAGCGTTGTGATGCCAAACAGCGTCAATTCAGACTGACACACATTCCCTTAAGGGGAACTGGAGATATGTATCAGCTGTTTGTGTGACAGTCAGACAGTGAATACTTTAGAGCCATGTGAGCTAACCCGGAGCTAACGGGAGAATAAACTCCCGTGGAAGAGCAGCCAGCACTGCAGCGGTCGGTAAATGCCGCTGAAACACATTAATAAACAATGAACCACGGCACTCTGGAGAAAAGTATAAGGTTGGAGAAGTCGTTATTTAATTTAATCTGGCTTCGTATGATTAAAAGCAACGCAGTCCCCGGCCCGTTGTTGTTGTGAGGTGAGCTCCGTTGGGGAGAAACTCAGCGACGTAAACTGTGACGTCATGACGCAGCAGCGGCAGCACCAGTCGGGCTCTGAGCGGTGTGAAAAGAGCCGGCGCTAAACCGAAGAACCGGTTCTGAACCAGAAAAGCTCTAGCACGGAGCTAGAAGGGGAAAAGCTTTGGTGTGAAAGGGGTATAACAGGGAGTCCCCATTGACTTGCATAGAGCTCCCTGAACGCTGGTAATAGACGAGTTGGGATGGTGGAGAAATGCTCTCCGCAGACCCATTCTCACAGCGTTATAAACCTTTTTCTTACTCAATATCAAGCCACACTTATTGTTTTTACTTCGGCTGTGAGTGTTTGTGTGTGCTCAGGATGAGTTTCGCTTGTTCTCTCTGTATCGCCGACACGGAAACCTGTCCACTCCTCGGAGCCTCACAACGTCCCGACCAATCAGAGCACACTGGGCTCACAGGGAGGGGGGGGCTGGAGCTCCAACAAGCCGTGTAGGACAGAGAGTGAATACACATACTATACAGAGATGCTGTATGAGAAACCAATGTGAATTTGGAAAATTGCACAATTTAAATCTATTGCAGTAGACCTCAACAATGGAAATATGATCAGTAGAAATGGCCATGACATGGGACCTTTAATCTTTTCAGTTATATATTATACCCATCTCTAAACCCAGCATAGAGTTCAATTAGACTTTACAATCTGCCTGCCGGAGAGAGATAAATGCCTCTTGCATCAAACCGATGCATCTTATCACAGCTGATAAACTATAACACACACCGCCCACCTCACCTTTGACCCTCCACATGCATCTCACCTCCACATAGGTGAAACTGTTTGAAATAGCGCTGTAGTTGCACCATGGATACAGCATGTGTTACTGTGCTCTTTGAAAGCTAACTGTATTGATTATGGCTGCTGAGAGACAGCCTCTGTTGAAACTAAAGAGCATAGAGGTATCAGAAAGCAATGCAAGATATATTTCACATTTCATAATGAACTGTGGTTGTGGTAACCTCGATATAAACCCACCTGCAACTTTGCATAATCCCACACTAAGCAGTTTAACAATAATTGATGTGCACATGCTCGGATTGTGATAAGGTAAAGCTCCAGCTGATAAAGGTGTTTTATCTTGCATTGATTCTTAAAAAGACCTTGTAGTCAAAACTCTTGAGGGACATTTCTGAAAAAATACACTTTTTAATGTCTAACTTTGGGTAAATACTGCTGTGGAGATACATTTGCTTCAACCAAACTGTACTCCCTTGAACTTTGTTGCTTTGATATGAAACCGGAGAGGGATATTTCCACTGCAGACACTAAAAAAGACACAAGGAATGAATTAAGGTGCAGGCATTTGAGGTAATCAGCGCTCGTCTCTTTCCAGGCTCCATCTTCCCTCCATTCGCACACATTAGAGGGGAAATGGAAAAGTGCAGCAGGCTCTTTAAGTGCATCCAAGTCTGTGTGCACACACTTAGTGCACAGACACAGGAGGTATATTAAGTAAGGGATAATGTGCAGCGACGCGGCCATTATGGGGAAAAGAACACGCGAAGCCATGGTCACATGTAGATCTTACATGGCCACATTCTCAACAAAGTAACGGTATGACTCCCAATATTAATTGAAATGCTTTTATCGATTTAGGAAATGTTTTTATTGATTTAAAAAATAGTACGCTATTATTTATTTAAAATTACATGCATCCGCTAAGAAAAATTGTCCGTTGTTAATGTTTGAACTAACGTAGCAACGGCAGGAACTGCTTCGATAGCGTTTTTGAGGAGCTTTTTGATTACAGATTTGAAAACATCGCTGCTTGCTTTAAAAGTAGCACAATTCATTATGTCAAACCTTGGAAAGTATCTAGATATCCCTGCCCTAATGTCAAAGTAACTGCACACTGAATATGTGTCGCCGTTTGATGTCTATGTCTGGACCGTTGCGTAAAAAGGAGGGTTTCTGCCCCGTTACTTCTCCGCTGTTTTTCTTGTCCCAGTTTTCAAAGCAAACTGCATGCACTTTGCTTTTCGGCCAAACTGTATGCAGTTAAATCGACCGAACTTCTTTCTGCAGATGTAAGCATCCTTAACAACGGTCAATAAATCCTTGACAGCAGTCTGTCTGTTCTGGATTAACAACGTGTCACGTGTTCTGAAGTGACCAATCAGAATCGAGTATTCAACTAAACCATGTAATAAGCGTCCTTAACAACGGCTACGCATCGGGCTCCTGATCAGCCTGTCGGATGTTCTTTTCCCCATAATGACCAAGTCGCTGCACATTATCCCGCTTATTACATGGCCACATTCTCAACAAAGTAACGATATGACTTTTTGATTACAGATTTGAAAACATCGCTGCTTACTTTAAAAGTAGCACAATTCATTATGTCAAACCTTGGAAAGTATCTAGATATCCCTGCCCTAATGCCAAAGTAACTGGCAACTGAATATGTGTCGCCGTTTGATGTCTATGTCTGGACCGTTGTGTAAAAAGGAGGGTTTCTGCCCCGTTACTTCTCCGCTGTTTTTCTTGTCCCAGTTTGCAGTTTGCATGCAGTTTGCTTTTCGGCCAAACTCTATACAGTTAAATCGACCGAACTTCTTTCTGCATATGTAAGCATCCTTAACAACAGTCTGTCTGTTCTGGATTAACAACGTGTCACGTGTTCTGAATTGACCAATCAGAATCGAGTATTCAACTAAACCATGTAATAAGCGTCCTTAACAACGGTCAATAAATCCTTGACAGTGATCTGTCTGTTCTGGATTAACAACGTGTCACGTGTTCTGAATTGACCAATCAGAATCGAGTATTCAACTAAGCCATGTAATAATGTAATATGAAGGATGAATATTAAGCGCAGCAGCAGGTTTACAATGCACGGTGCAAACTTGGACTTGTTATCATACTCTACACACAATGATGGAGTTATCAGTTGGACCCTGTACTTTATGTCCACACACACACAAACACACACACATTTGCCGATACATATAAAGGGGTTGGGATTTAACTGTGTCTCTTAGTCTGACAAGCGTACGGTTAACTGATATCTCCACTCATCAAACGGATCAAAAATGCCTGCAGACTATAATGGACGATGGGAGATGGTGAGCAACGACAACTTCGAGGACATCATGAAGGCCATCGGTGAGCTCCACTTTTAATTATTACGGTATAGAAGGAGAGGCTTTGGCTTGTAACCCTCTCATTAAAAACAGGAGTCAATTAGCAGGTTGTCTTTAAATATGCAGCCAAGTAGAGAGGGAGGAATGAGCAGGATGTTTGCGTGACAGAAAGAGTGAGAGAGAGAGGAGGAAAGTAGAGGAATTCTGTGGCACTGCTTCATCTCCTCATTGAGCTGCTGTCAGGACAAGTTAACCTCCATTCTGAGAGCCGCTGCTGTCTGTTACAGCGCCAAATAAATATTGATTCAGCCCTTTCTGCATACTCCTGATCCGCCGAATGGTAAGACAGGATCCGACCCTGGATCAGGCAGCAGGCCAGCTCGTAATTTTAAAAAACTGAGGAAGACAGAGCCCTTTTTTGGCCAGCGTCGTTGATCAGGCCCCGAAAAACGTTAATTATTCACGACTATATCTGCAATTCATAAAACATCCCGGCTACTCAGCTCACACGAAATCCAGGAAATCCTGAAGGCCTCCACCTCATTTCCATGGAACGGATGGGAAAATTACATCCTTATGGAAATTGGTCAAAAATATTATTTAGATGGGTAAATATAGGGGCCTCGTCTGTATGAGTGATGGCACGAAATTGAATTTTCACGTTTAGGCAAATGGGATATGAATATCTGAGTGATGTGGCGGGTGGTGCTAAGAGCGCGATGTCGAGCGAGGAGGAGGAACTCATTTGACTCGGAGTAAGGTCATATTTTAAAGTGTAAATGAGACTGTCAGAAAAACCATAGAAGAAGAATCCTAATAAGCCGCCTGGAGTGTCACATGTGTGGCAGTGGATGTGTGCTTTTGTGTGTCAGTGTACAGAAAGATTATTAACTATTCACCAAACTGACTGACTGACAGTGGTGTAAGAAGTTCTCAAATCCTTTATTTTAGTAAAATTGGAAACACTATTATCTTAAAAAACGTCATTACAGATAAAACCCTTGGATTGAAAATATTACTGTAGAAATTCAAAAGAATTATCTACAAAATGTACTTTTAGTATCCAAGGTCATTTGATTTGCAGGATGGCTCTTTTCACATATGATAGAATATTGTTAGGTTTGTAATTTTTGTCAATGTTAATCCAATTTAAGAAATATGTAAAAAAAAAACAGTAGATCAGTCGCACAGTACTGCATCTTAGCATATCGTGTTTTTAGATATAAAGGTCCTACATTTTAATTCTCACTTAAAGGGGACCTATCATGCAAAATGCACTTTTTTATGACCTATACATAAATATGTGTCCCCGGTGTGTCGGGGAACTCACGCAGCGTCAGAAAATAAAACCCTCTCTCTTTTCCTCCGTACCCAAATCTCTAAAACGGGGCTACAACGGAGCTGATCCAGATTTGCGTCCGATATGACGTAATATCGGAAATGTAGGCTGGCTTTACACCCACGGCACTATCAGAAACGTTGCTATCAGAAAAAATGCCCGACTGTTTTGGACGTAATATGGTCAGTGCATGTTTACATTAGCGTCGCTAACACTCTGAGCTCCATACTGTTTCAGAAATAATCCTTGATAATCCATGATATGGCGTTTCATCACCGCAGTATCTGCCGGTAGAATCTCCCGCATGAGCTCAGCCCCCTCCTTTTTTTTTTAAAGCTTTATACCCTCCTTTGCCTCTTCACACATGTTTTTAATGCAAAATCTTAATATAAGTAACTAAAGTTTCAAAATACACGTAGTAAAGTAAAAATAATTAAGTATAATGAAATGGAAATGCTCAAGTAAAGTACAAGAATGTCAAAATCATACTTGAGTACAATACTTGCTGACTGGTTCTCTCTTCTAACGCTGACATTCACTCCTGTGCTCACAGACATTGACTTTGCCACCAGAAAGATAGCGTCCCACCTGCACCAGACCAAGGTGATCGTGCAGAACGGAGACAAGTTTGAGACGAAGACTCTGAGCACCTTCAGGAACTACGAGGTCAACTTCACCGTGGGGGAGGAGTTCGAGGAGCAAACAAAGGGCCTGGACAACCGGAAGGTCATGGTAGGACTATTTTCTTGTTTTTTTTTACACCAAAGTGCTTCCGTAGAATATTTGACATCACTTGTAAAACACTACATTTGAGTAATAACCACTATGTGTGTTTTTGTGGTTATAAAGACAACGGTTACCTGGGATGGGGACAAGCTGGTGTGTGTTCAGAAGGGCGAGAAAGCAAATCGGGGCTGGAAGCACTGGTTCGAGGGAGATGTGCTACACCTGGTGAGAAAAAAAGTGACATAAATAAGAGAAAAGTTGTAAAAGTTTTGCAGATTTGCCAGGAAATTAAATGTTTTCTTAAAGGTCACCTATTGTGCAAAATCCACTTGTTCATGTCTTTTCTACATCAACACGTGTCCCCTCTGTGTAAAGAGATTCTGGAAGTTTCAGGAAAAAAGATTCTCTCTCTTTTTGTCCTAATTAGGGATGCACATTTTATTTTCAAAGATGGAAACTTTCCACGGGAATTAACGGGAATTAACTGGGAATTTTCTAAATTGAAGGTTGGCTCTTCATAGGGAACTTAAATATAGTTGGGGAAAGTATATTTTAGCATAATCTTGACTAAAACAAACAGATGCCATTCAAGTACACTTGAATATCCATGCCATAGCACACTGCTTACTGCATGGCTATTGAGACCACACAAAGGTTCGCAACAGGCTCACAAATGTGAGAGTGGAAAAACTGGTTGGCATTCGGGCAAACCTAAGGCTCTTTGAGCCTGACACAGAGCCATCCTCAACAAGGCTGGACAGTGACACTGAAGAGGAAGACTCAGAGTTGGATGTTGATGAGGCCCAGGAAGAGCCTGTTGACTGAAAGGGTTTAGCAAAAATGCAGAGGATTGCTTGAAGGAAGATTTGCATGTCAACATTCCTGTTTTCGTTCTTCAATGACACAAATAATTGTTCAATAAAATAATTAAAACTTGTTCTGTTCTACTTACAAAAAAATAAATTCTAAAATAAATCTGTTGAAATGTCATGTTTTTTTGTTTAATTTTGCATCGAATATTTCCAAAATTCCCCAGCTTAACTTCCCATGGAAACTTTCCGGAAACTTTCCGGAAATTTACCGGAAACTTTCCGCCCCTTTGCAACCCTAGTTCTGATCCATTTATATAAAAACCTGTCTGAAAATGAGCTGATCAGATTTTGGCCACTTTGTGATGTCATAAAGATTTTTTGGCTTGTGTAACCATTAGCCAATCATCAACCAAGGTAACCCCCCCCCCCCCACCTTATCACCTGAATCTCCTCCTAGAGCACCATTAGCCGCGTTCACACCGGAGTACTTTTCACCGTACTTTTCGCGTTTAGTTCCGTTAGTACCCCTTATGTCGCGTTCACACCAAAAAGAGCACTTCATCTCGGGAACTTTTACCCCCATTTTTAGTGCCTGCTGAGAGATGGTACTTTCCTGGGGGAAAAAAGTGCCCCAGTTCTGATTGGCTGGGCGAATTGCAAACCACGCCCCGTACAACTCTGAAATGTTTTGTAGAGCCGCCATTTTATTATCCTGGCATTAGCATTATTAGCATTAGCATTCGCCGAGTGCACAAACAAAGAGAGACTAACTTATGGCAACACATAATAAAACGGTGGAGATGAGGAAGTGTCGGCGTTCTGGTGATTTACTCTGAAGGCTTCAGTAGAAGCTGCTGGGAGTCCCAGCAGCTTCTACTGAAGCCAGTCCCCAACTCCGGGGACTTCCGGCCGGGAACTCCGGGTGGCAGTATACGCCGTGAAGTTGTTTGCGGCCTGCCAGTAAACCCAAAGCAGAAGAAGACGAAGTGACGTCAGCGGCTCATTTGCGTAATCTTCCCTCAGGGAAAAGTACTCCGGTGTGAACGCGATCTGTACTAAATGCCCTGGGGTAATAAGCGCCGGGGCACTGAGTGCCGGCACTAAATACGGCAAAGTACTTGGTGTGAACGCGCCTATTGTGTTCTTTTTAACCAAATATCTCTCAGAGGGGCGTGGGGAGTGCTCCTTATTTTCATCTAAAGTAACAGACAGAGAATCAGCACTTTTGAAACAGGGCTAAAACAGAGGGGATTATGGGATGCTGCAATGATCTGTTTGGTGTTTGGAGCCAAACACCAAACAGATTAGATTAGATAGATTTACATTATCGCAATGACAATAAACGAGATATTGAAGCGCTATCTATAACACATGTCAGTAATCTGCCTGATTATGTGATTAAGAGACATTTGTTGCATCATGTTGAACTCACAGTCTAAAGGTCTTTTCTCTTTCAGGAAATCCACGTGCTCGACAAAGTCTGCCACCAAGTGTTTAAGAAGAGCCAATAAGAAGAACCCTATCTGTCCTGTGTTACATATTTCTGCATATTTTTAATGTCATTATGTAATAAACTGACTTGAAACCCCTGTACTTTTTTTTTTCATTTAAAGAAAATCATAATAAGAGCAGGTTGTGTTTCCATTAAGGTCGGACTTTTTATTGTCACAGAAGTAATACATTATCTTTTATGCTGAATTTTCCCATTTTAAGCACAGAAATGTCACTCTGGAAAGTGATTAGACAGTAGGCCAATACATGTATGTAGCCTACCATTTATAACTGAGCTGCAGGGAGGTGCACAGCATGCAAATTAGCGCATTTTAATTAGGCCTAGTTAACGCCTAATCTGCATATCAATGTGGCGATTGTGATGACGTTATTAGATACACATTTTACTGTATTCACTTTAAGTGTCTCCCCTTAAGTACAGTACATTAGCCTGTATGCCCATGATACATTACCTTAGCTAAACCTTCAGCTAACTTATCCATTAGCTAGTAGCCTACCTAAGTTAACTATATTTGTTATTGTCTTTTAGCTAATTAGCTGTAAACTCGAGGCACTGGCAGTTTAGTAATTTGTTCATCACCACTCACCTTCAAAATAAACCAAGAAAAGCCGGCATAAAGTGGGAGGTGCTGCTACCTGTCTGTCTGAAGTGACTGCCGATGTCCGCACTGCTGTGCAGGAGACTTGGAGGGAGGGGGGGAGGGAGGGGGGGAGGGAGAGCTACGGAACTTCACAGTCTAATCTCCCGACCTGATGTTTTTATTTTGTATTCAATCAATATATTTTTGGAAAGGGAAACTGTGTGCAAACAGCAGTAGATATATATTCATTTATTAAAAATAAATAAAAAAGGGCACTTTCTCTGGCAGGGGCTCAAGCCCACTTTGATGTCTATGTGTGCACGTGCCTGCTGAGCTTTATACTGAAAGTGTTTTCTAATATGAAAACAAAGGGGTCAGGAGGTCGTGTAGTGGACAACAGCCAGTCCATGCAGTGCTTAAAAAACAACTGAGAAATCTTAAGAAATCTAAATCTAAAATGTCTCTCTCTCTCTCTGGAACCAGTGAGGAGTTCTGCGGCTGCATTTTGAAAAAGCTGCAGGTGATAGAGGGACTTACTGAATGATTCCTACATAAAGAATAAAGATTAAATCGTAGCAGAAGTCGAACACGAGAAAATAAAGACCGAACTTAAAGGGCCCATGTCATGCTTTTCCGGTTATTACCCCCTTGTATGTTATGAAGGTTTTCTGCATGTAAACGGTCTGCAGAGTCACAAACCCTCAAAGTACACCCTGTAGCGAGTAAAACTCTAACACAGAAAAGACTTGTCTATGCTGCCCCAGAATGCCTCGTTGGAGAGTTCTCTTTTTCTTCCTGGGTAAGTGACGTGCCCATACCCAAATGGACCAATCCGTGGAGCCGTTATGTTACGTCCGCGGAGCCGTTACGTTAAGTCTGTGGATTGCTCCAAATGGACCAATCCACTTCTTCACACATCCACTTCCTCTCACACACACACTCAATCTTTTCTCAGCTGCAGCTCCGCCGATTTCTCCTCCCTGAGACGGCGGGACGCGGCGAGGCTTTGAGTCGGTGTGTGAGCACACACACAAACTCCCAGCCAGGCTGCGGGTGTGTGTGTTTCGGGCTGTGTCTCGCTGTCTCGCAGACGGCCACTGGGCTCATAGGGAGGGGGGGGGGGCAGAAGCTCCAACAAGCTGTTTAGGAGTGAATACACATACTATACAGAGATGCTGTATGAGAAACCAATGTGATTTTGGAAAATTGCACAATATAAATCTATTTTAATATACCTCAACAATGGAATTATGATCAGTGGAAATGGCCATGACATGGGACCTTTAAGTTTCCAAATATGGACAGACATTATTATAATCAAGCAACGTGCTAGCAAACCTTTACTTTTTTACAGATCCAGGAGACACGGATCAATAAGTCATGTTTCTGTCCCACTGACACTTATTATCCCAGTTTTCACTGTTGTTTAACTTTCAACTACATTTTGTTTTCTATTATCTGCTTTAAACTCAGGTTCGATTCAGGTGAGACGGGTTCATTTTACATTTTTTGCTGAAAAACGCTCCATAAATCTGAGGGGAAATGGTGGCAATAATTCTGTGTGGGTTTTTATAACTACAAGGGACCCCTTTTTACATGACATGTTGTCATTTTTCCTATTTTTAATAACAAAATGTTAATTCATGAAGCCATAGCTTTGCTTTTCACTTTTGACCATACTTTACTGGATGATGCATTGGTCACCATACACTGCTAACCTGAAAAAAGGCCTCAAGCAAGTGATCTCAAATGGTCGTAGCTAGTAAAGTTAACTAATGTTTCAAATGTACAGTAGGATTTCTTGCATGGGACTTTATATTTAATGATAGAGGATTGAGGGCATTGATTGTGGTTGTGCAGTTGTGGGCTGGGAAATACAGTAAGACCTGGGTGTTATGTAAGGGATAATGTACAGCGAGGCGGTCATTATGGGTAAAAGAACACCCCACAGGCTGATCAGGGAGCCCGACGCGAAGCTTTTCGGCCAAAACTGTATACAGTTAAATCGAACTGACTTCTTTCTGTGTGTGTGTGTGTGTGTGTGTGTGTGTGTGTGTGTGTGTGTGTGTGTGTGTGTGTGTGTGTGTGTGTGTGTGTGTGTGTGTGTGTGTGTGTGTGTGTGTGTGGAGATGTTTTCCATCTGCGGGATGAACATAATACACTCATACCCATTCATTTCCTATGGCGGACCGAAAACATCATGGGTGTTTTTTCACTGTTGAATAAATCACTAAAAAATCAATGCAAGTGGTGATCATCAATTGTATATGTTCAGAGGCCTAGTGTGGAGGATAACATACTGTAAGGTCTTGAGGCAATTGGACGAAAAACACAATATTTATGATCAAAAACAAAGTCACTCGGTCACTTTTGACCCGAAACGCAAGAGAAGGGTTAACAACGGTCAATAAATCCTTGACAGCGGTCTGTACTACTGGATTAACAAAGTTTCACGTGCTCTGAATTGACCAATCAGAATCGAGTATTCAACTAAACCATGTAATAATGTGGTTTTTAACCATTCAGGATTTAATATCATCAATGCACTTAAGGATAATGTAATGTAAAGAGAACAGCTCTGATGTACTGCAAAGAAATGTCAGAATCAAACTAGTTGAGGTTTTACATTAAACCTTAAATTCTCTGTAATATTTGCGTGATGCAAAAACCAAAAGGCTGTTTTAATCCATGGTCATATTTTACATTTGCTAAATAAATATGTAAGGTTAAGACTAGTGGTGGACAAAGTACTCAGATATTTTATTTAGGTAAAAGTAGTAATACTACAGTGAAGAAATACTATGTAACAAGTGAAGGTCTTGCAAAAATGCAAAATTAACCTTGAGTAAAAGTAGGGCGTAATATGCATTAACATTAAAGTTTAAGTAGACTTCTTACTGCAGAACTTTGAGATTAATGTATTTTATTAAATACTAACTATTAATGCATTAATGATTGTTTTTTTTAAACTATATAATTAAGGGCACAATTTGAGCAAGGGTCGGGATCAATAAAGTGTTTCTCGAACTACAATGATACATGGTAAAACGAGAGTTAATTGTATTTTGTATTATTCATTCGTAGCCTATCTTTAAAGAAACTAGCTGCATGTCAGATAAAATGTAAATAGGCCTATTTTCTCTCAGCTGTAGTGGAGTAAAACTGTAAAACAGCAGGAAATGGAAGCGATCAGCCTAATTCAAAATGTTATAAGTACAGTAGCCTAATTAAGTAAATGTAGGGTACTTAGTTACTGCCCATAAGTGATTTATAATAGAAATAACCTCGGTGTAGTTTGAGTGTTGTGTGTTTGCAGGGCAGGTACAACGTGTTCTTCTGCTCAGCAGCCGGATCCTCCTGAGCCTCTCACAGGAAGCGCTGAGGATCCACGTCGCCAAAAGAAACTGCGGCAAGTGACACAGCGGCGGAGCGATTCTAACCGGAAATGGCTAGAATCGGGGCCTATTGACTTCAAAATAAAAGCATTGCATTTATGACCATTACATCGTAAAAGAAAGGGCTACTTTTAAGGTGTTCAAAAATGTTACTTAAAAGACAGCATCAGCATATTTTGGCTTGTAGTCACCACGCATAAAACCATGTTAGAGTTTGATATGTATATTGTGCAATAACATCCTTTTTCAACGTCAACATTTTCAGAGAACCAGTTTGACTCTTATTGTGAAACTGAAACCGGAAGTCTCGATGTTTTTACTCATGTTCGCTTGGTCACAGTTTTCTCTCCACGTTGAGTTTAAGAGAAGCCCGACGAGGGCAATAGGGAAGCGGATTATTTCACCGGACAGCACGGCTGAGACTCACTGACGTGGAACCATGGTAGGAGAATTAAACAAACACAAAGCTTCGCAATAACTTTGTTTATGTGTTGATTGTTGTTCGGTTGCTCTGCGTCAGTGGCACGCGACACCGTGTGCGTAGCTACACTGTCCACAAACCTTCAGAATAACAAACTCCATTCAAAGTACACTGTACAGTACTTCTATGCATGCGACAACAAAACCACAAAACTGCACATATTTCATGACACACAAAGTGAAAACCAGCAGAAAAGATCATTCCTCATTTGTACGTTGTATGGCAAACTTTTTAGATGTGTTTACAAGAGGTTTTTAAGGCCTATTCATGCCATTTCAAAGGAGACAAAAGCAAAAGCTACTTATTTTCATTGACAGGCTTTAACTGAAAGTCATTGTGGAGCAGGCATGCATATTAAATGTGGAATGGGAAGTATTGGCAGACACACCCCCTCCTTTAGGGCCTCCTATCTCCAAAACCTGAACAATAATATGCCTTACGAAATAAAAGTCATTGAATTAAGTGTATTTAATGCAAAACAATGCCTCATAGACTATACTAGTGTACATATTGCCTATTGAGTCAAGTTCGGTATTTGTTAGGAAGCCAGACTACCTATCCACATTTAAGAGTGGGTTAAAGACTTTCCTTAATAATACATCTTATGGTTAAGGCTAGCTCAAAGTGCCATTACAATTTTTCAATATAGCAAATTACATACATATATCATTCAGGTTGTCTGTTATACGTCTATGTGTTTTTAATCTTAGTCATGTAATGTTGTTGATGTGTATACCCTGTAAACCCCCCAGAGACAAGGGCTTCTCTTGTGATAGTGAGATATTTGAATAGATTTTGATTTGATTTGAGTGCTTTAACAATCTTTTATAAAAGGACATTCCCCTGTTGAGAGCGGCTATCTTTTTAGATATTTTTTGTTCGTCTTTTTATATATTTTTTCTCTTATTTGACTTCCTAGCCTCTGCGGTTGGACATCAAGCGGAAGCTGTCGGCTCGCTCAGACCGGGTGAAGAGCACCGACCTGCACCCCACTGAGCCCTGGATGGTGGCCAGTCTGTACAGCGGCACCGTGGTGGTGTGGAACCATGAAACACAGGTTACTATCATCCACCTACACACTCCTCTACACACACCTCTACACACTCCTCTACACACTCAAATACTTCTCTGATCACTCGCCTAAGCACAGTCATTAATTCAAGTTCCAGGATTCAAGGCTTTTAATGTCATGTGTACATAGCTACAGTGTGGTTATGACAATTGAACATCTTAGGTCACAGGCTCCTCTAACAGTGCAACACAATAAAACAGATAATAGTGCAAGAAAGTACAAATGAAATAGGATATAATAGAAATAGTGCAAGAATAGAATAGTCTATGTATACAAGTAGTTGGAATATATATATATATAAGTTGCAAACAGATGAATGTTATGGATGTTCTTTCAAAAGTTCAAGTGTCTCACAGTCTTATGGCCTGTGGGATGAAACTGTCCCTGAGTTCAATTCACACACGCAATCATATTCATATCTGATGGATAGAAAGTGTGTGTAATGTGTATCTGCTGTGTGTGTGTAGATGATGGTGAAAACCTTCGAGCTGTGTGACCTGCCTGTCAGAGTGGCCAAGTTTGTAGCCAGGAAGCACTGGGTCATCGCCGGAGCAGTGAGTATTCTGACTCAATTTCAGTGTCAATATTTGTATCAATGTTTTTTGTCTTTTGTCTGGGAATAATCTCACTTGTTGATCTCTCTGTCTGTCCGCAGGATGATATGCAGATCCGAGTGTTTAATTACAACACTCTGGAGCGAGTTCACATGTTCGAGGCTCACTCCGACTACATCCGCTGCATCGTGGTGCATCCGAGCCAGCCCTACATCCTCACCAGCAGCGGTAAGGAAGAACCACATGAACACCTTTTTTTTTAAACTACAAAAGTAGAGGCATATTTGCAAAACACTCAACATCGTATGTTTTCAGATGACATGTTGATCAAGCTGTGGGACTGGGAGAGGAAGTGGACGTGCAGTCAGGTTTTTGAGGGACACACTCACTACGTCATGCAGATCGTCATCAACCCCAAAGACAACAATCAGTTTGCCAGCGCCTCTCTGGACAGAACTATCAAGGTACACACACACACACACGCACACGCACACACGCACACATGTATGTAAGACAGACAAAAGAAAGAAGGTTTGTGCTGCACTTCAAGTTAAAAATGAAAGTAATAGTGACAGAAAGAAGGGACGGAGACATTTCCTTTTACAGACAAAGAGACTGATACAGAAAATGGTTAATATATGTATCTATGTTGCTACAAATTGTGAATGGATAAAAGGCTATACAGCATATTGAACCACAGCAAATAACAAGCTTTTCCATGTGTTATGAATGAAGTTGAGAAAATATAGCAAATACAAGTTCAACCGCAACTACTGTAACCCAAATTATTCAAAAGACCTATCATGGCTTCTATGCAAATAGTGAACAGAAAATGTGGGTGGTGATAACAATGATTCCCTTTTTATAGTTTGTAAAAATAATTTCAAGCTGTACTCGCAAAAAACACTATGATGTAAAAGCAACTATGGGCTTAGACCAGGGCTATTCAATTAGTTTGGAATGGGGGCCGGTTGATGAAAATGATCCAAAGCAAGGGGCCGGGAAAAAGATGGCTTGAAATATGAGCAATCATATTTAAGAGCAGTAAATACTACAACAGCATAGTGGAGTGCATATATTGTGTTAAATCAAACAACATAGCCCCAAGGCCTTTATAGATTACATGTCTCTTGTTAGACGCTTTTATCTAAAGCGACTTACATACTCAATACTGTGGGCAATCCCTACAGGAGCAATTTGGGGTGAAGTGTCTCAGGGACACAACGACATGCTGACTGCAGTGGGGTTTGAACCTGTGACCCCCTGATCCCAACACCAATGCACCACACGCCTCCCAGATCTAAATGGCAAGTTCAGAACTCAGTAGGCCTACATGTGAAGCTAATTTAAACATCAACATAATTTAATTTAATTTAGGTGAAATGATCTAATCATTCGCGCAGAGATGCAATCAATGACAGGAGTTACTACAGTAGCTAGTAGGTGGGTTCGAAACCCGAGCCCGCCGAAGTTTTCAGGCAATGTCTTCCCCTCTATCTCTCAATGTAACACCCTCTCTGGAATAAAGGCACTCTGGTAGATTACTTTTTAACATTATACTCGCTTAAAGCGCTTGTTAATTACTTATTTTTCTAGCAGGAAAAACGAAGTATTCGCCAGTTTTCTTTCACGCAAACAAATCAGAGAATTGAAAGCAGCGCTGCCTCTCAGTCAGTGGACTTTTCTACACCCTCACTCCCATCACCACTTCTCAGAGATAGAGAGCTTTAAATGATCTCGATCAGGCCCTTACAAAACCTGTCCTCTTTGTTCTACCCTACTACCTATCTAAGGTTTAAATATCCTAAGTGGTTTAAAGGTCAAAGATGGGTTCGGGTAACAGTAAAATAGGAAAATGTGTTGACTGGGGATGCAAAATGGATGAAAGAGAAGGATGAAAGGAATATAAAAATGTTAGAAAACTGTCAAAGGTAGAGGAATGTGGTTAGGGGTATATCTGGAACAAACTCCCAGAAACCCGCAGGTCCGCTGCAACTCTGACTACTTTTAAATCCAGGCTAAGACTTTTCTTTCTGCCGCTACTTTTAATTGAACTATTCACATCTTACACTGCACTGTAACTTTTATTCATGTACCTGTTCAAGGTTTTTTATTTGTCAAACGAACATAGCTACAGTGTAGTTATGTCGATGATAATCTTGTGTCACAGGCTTCTCCAACAGTGCAACACAAAACACAGATAAATAGAAAATATAGTGCAAGTAAATAGTAAATACAAGAAGAAAAATTGTTTAAATAGTGAAATAGTGCAATAAGAGTCTATATGCAAGTCATTGAAATATGATATATAGGTAAATAGATAAATAATTTTTAAGTAGTGTTATTCATGTTTTATTATCTTTGCTTTTAAATTAGTGTTTTCTTAAAGGTGGGGTAGGTAAGTTTGAGAAACCGGCTCGAGAAACACTTTTTGTTATATTCCATGGAATGCTCTTAACATCCCGATAGCAATGAATATCTGAAGTGCTTTGACAAAAAATCCATTAAAAAATGTCATCTGTGGAAGCCGTGGCGCTGTAGAAAGCACGACCAATCATCTGAGCTGGCCTGGCTAAAATAACTGGATGGCCTACCTGCCTGTCAGCCTTCCATCTGCACAAACTTATCTCGTGCCCTCATTGGTCATGTGCGCGTTCGTGTGTGTTGGAGGAGGGGCTCTGTAAGGAAGTGGCAGATTTTCTCCGGTTGTGTATTTTCAAATTCTAACGCACTCAAGCTGGTTTCTCAAACTTACCTACCCCACCTTTAATATCTTTCATTTTTGTAAAGCACCTTGAATTGCCTTGTGTTGAAAAGTGCTGTATAAATAAACTTGCCTTACCCTCTTTTCTTTCCTTGCAGGTGTGGCAGCTCGGCTCCAAGACCCCCAACTTCACTCTGGAGGGCCACGAGAAGGGGGTGAACTGCATCGATTATTACAACGGAGGAGACAAGCCCTACCTCATATCGGGGGCCGACGACCGCCTGGTCAAGATCTGGGATTATCAGGTAATGAACTGTACTCTAAAATAAATTGCTTCTAGCCTGAACCTAATCCTGATAAATGGCTTTTCCCGCCTCTCAGGTACGCCAAATAACTTTCTGATACAAATGTTTAATACATAACGCCAACGCAGTCTTTCTGCCTCATCCATCTGTATTTATCCACTAAAGAATTGCACTGTTTCTTGTTAAAAGGACGGTATAAAACACAATTGAACTAAACTTCTCTTCCATTAAGAATACACTTTTCTTTTTCCAGACAGTCAAGACGTCCAGTTTGAACAAATATCTTTCTTGTCAATCTTCTATATTAAGTATATGAATCCATAACTGAGCTGTACATATCTGCAAGTGAGCGACACATGGTTTTCATCACATAAGTATAAGAATAGCAGGAAAGTAGCTGTAGTAAAGGCAGGATGTACAGCATGTGTCTATTTTTCTTAATGTCAACACATGAGATGTTTACTTCTAAAAAGCCTGGTACAATTTGAGTGACATAAAGTGTGTGTGTGTGTGTCTCCATCCTCCAGAACAAAACGTGTGTTCAGACGTTGGAGGGTCACGCCCAGAATGTGACCTGCGTGTGTTTCCACCCCGAGCTGCCAATCATCCTCACCGGCTCCGAGGACGGTACGTCGTGTATTTCAACAAGTTACAAAAACACCACAACATCTTGGTTACATTTGACCTCTTGACCTCTTTGTTGTCATGTGATTAATACTAATACACCACTGTACACATTTTAATATACACGTTGTATAGAGTGTCGTACAATGTGCACATTTGACCCTAACTTCTTCATTTTAACTTCATTATATCTTTATATTGAACCTTTGAATTTAACGTATTTATATATAATAGCTGTGTTTTATTTTCTTACATCTTTTTATTGGATATTATTATTTTATTTCACTTTTTAATTTAACTACTTATGTTTCTACCAACATTTTTACTTTAGCTTAGTGTACATCTTATGGTTAAAAAAATATATTTGATGTTATTATTGCACTTTAAAATAAATATTTGTAATATATTTGATGTATTAATCGTTTTTTTTTAATCTTTTATTTCATTTTAAAACGGGCCAACTGTCACAACATCCAATTCTCCCCGGGAAAAATGAAGTGTTTTTGATTCTGACTACCCACAGGCACTGTCCGGGTGTGGCACTCCAACACCTACCGGCTGGAGAACACTCTGAACTACGGCATGGAGCGGGTCTGGTGTATCTCTGGACAGGCGGGGTCCAACAGTGTGGCGCTGGGCTACGATGAAGGCAGCATCATCATCAAGGTACATCACGTACACTGGAAAAAATGACACCATTACAGTAGTCGAGTCTACTGAAAATAAAAGCATGGACAAGCTTTTCTAAATCCTGTTGTGACATTAGTTTTGTAATCCTAGATATGTTCTTCAGGTGATAGTAGGCTGACTTAGTAACTGTTGTTATGTGACTGTTAAAATCCAGGTCTGAGTCCATCCGTCTGTAGTGGGAACTTAAACCATAAAAGGTCTAACGGTGTCACAATTGAACTGCTGCTGATGCACCAGGTAGCAATTCTGAGGCAGAATAAAAGCCCCTTATCCAGGAAAGAGTATCATTTATGCCGTTTCTTTTTCCTCTCTTCAACACTCAACCGTTCAAAGAACAAGGGCTTCTCTTTCCCTGGTAAAAAAATAAACGTAAGCCGTAAGCCTTTTTCCCTTTTTCCTTCTTTAGCCACTTTCACATTTTGAGTAAAGACCAATCGATAGACTATTGGAAAGCCCTCTTTTGTTAATGGGCCCCTGTGGACAGCAGCAGGAAGCGGCTGACTTAGGAAATCATAAGGGCTGCAACTCATTATTGTTAAATCTGCCAATTCATTTCTCAATTTATAGTTTGGTTTATAAATGTCAGAAGAAATGCCCAAACCAGTCCTTGAAAAAAAGTCCTTGCTGATGTTTTGAAATGTGTGTGATGTAATGTGAATAACACCATAGTGAACATTGAAATTCCCCTCAGGGAGTAATAGATTATCTCTTACACACACATTCATGTTTTTTGTAAAGCACTTACGATACGATAATACTTTATTGGTCAGATCAAGTCTGACATTTGACTTGCAGCTCCATGTGTAACATCAACATGGACACATATCAAGACACAATACATGATGAAAAAAAACACTTTGAGTTGATAAATAAACGTTCCTTACCAGAGGTGGGAAGTAGTGGAGTACAAATACTTTGTTACTGTACTTAAGTACATTTTTCTGGTATCAGTACTTTACTCCACTACTTATTTTTCTGACCACTTTTTACTTTGACTTCTTACATTTTGAACCAAAAACACCTGTACTTTCTACTTCTTACATTTTGAACACAAATACCTGTACTTTCTACTTCTTACATTTTGAACACAAATACCTGTACTTTCTACTTCTTACATTTTGAACACAAATACCTGTACTTTCTACTTCTTACATTTTGAACACAAATACCTGTACTTTCTACTTCTTACATTTTGAACACAAATACCTGTACTTTCTACTTCTTACATGTTGAACTCAAATACCTGTACTTTCTACTTCTTACATGTTGAACACAAATACCTGTACTTTCTACTTCTTACATTTTGAACACAAATACCTGTACTTTCTACTTCTTACATTTTGAACACAAATACCTGTACTTTCTACTTCTTACATTTTGAACACAAATACCTGTACTTTCTACTTCTTACATGTTGAACTCAAATACCTGTACTTTCTACTTCTTACATTTTGAACACAAATACCTGTACTTTCTACTTCTTACATTTTGAACACAAATACCTGTACTTTCTACTTCTTACATTTTGAACTCAAATACCTGTACTTTCTACTTCTTACATTTTGAACACAAATACCTGTACTTTCTACTTCTTACATTTTGAACACAAATACCTGTACTTTCTACTTCTTACATTTTGAACTCAAATACCTGTACTTTCTACTTCTTACATTTTGAACTCAAATACCTGTACTTTCTACTTCTTACATTTTGAACTCAAATACCTGTACTTTCTACTTCTTACATTTTGAACACAAATACCTGTACTTTCTACTTCTTACATGTTGAACACAAACACCTGAACTTTCTACTTCTTACATGTTGAACACAAATACCTGAACTTTCTACTTCTTACATGTTGAACACAAATACCTGTACTTTCTACTTCTTACATGTTGAACACACATACCTGTACTTTCTACTTCTTACATGTTGAACACAAATACCTGAACTTTCTACTTCTTACATGTTGAACCCAAATACCTGAACTTTCTACTTCTTACATGTTGAACACAAATACCTGTACTTTCTACTTCTTACATGTTGAACCCAAATACCTGTACTTTCTACTTCTTACATGTTGAACACAAATACCTGTACTTTCTACTTCTTACATTTTGAACACAAATACCTGTACTTTCTACTTCTTACATTTTGAACACAAATACCTGTACTTTCTACTTCTTACATTTTGAACACAAATACCTGTACTTTCTACTTCTTACATTTTGAACACAAATACCTGTACTTTCTACTTCTTACATGTTGAACACAAATACCTGTACTTTCTACTTCTTACATGTTGAACACAAATACCTGTACTTTCTACTTCTTACATTTCCCAAACAGGCTGGTTCCTTTAGTTTGAATGTGTGTTTGGTGGCGTGATCATTATTATTTAGAGTCATTGCGTGCCTATTGATTTGAACACGATCCGTGTATCCATAATTTCCTGGTCTTCTCTAAAGAAGAGGGACCAATGAAAACGTTGTGATGTTGCCGTTGTTCAGCATGGAGACATTCATTAGCTAACAATGACATTATTGTTCTATTAATATAAAGGGAGGTCAGGTACTCTTTAAAACAGCTGCTAGTTATGGGTACTTTTTACTGAAGTACATTTTGAAGTCTTTACTTTTACTTGAGTAAACAAGTTTAGTCAGTACTTCTACTTTCACCAGAGTATTTTTAAACACGAGTATCTACTTGAGTAAAGGATGTGTGTACTTTTGACATCTCGGATCCTTACCTTACCTCCTCTCCCCCCCCCCTCTCTCTGCTCAGATGGGACGGGAGGAACCGGCCATGTCCATGGACTCCAGTGGGAAGGTGATGTGGGCTCGTCACTCCGAGGTGCAGCAGGCCAACCTGAAGACCATGGGGGAGGCGGAGGTGAAGGACGGGGAGAGGCTGTCTCTGGGCGTCAAGGACATGGGCAGCTGTGAGATCTTCCCCCAGACCATCCAGCACAGCCCCAACGGGAGGTGAGACCCCAGGAAGGGAATGTACATGACTCAAGTATTGTACTCTATAAGAAAATCTGTGCAATTGACGGTAAATACCAGCAGCTGTGGTTGGCACAACTTCAGCGTGAAAAAATGTCCACAGTGTAAAAGAGATACAGATACATTTATCAGTTGAGAACAGTTTCTGTTGACTTTATAACTATAAGAAAAACATATATGGTTAACCTGTTTGCGGTAGTTAGTTTTTAAAAAGATCTGCTATAATATAAACCTGTTTACTGTGATATTTTTTAAATGTATGTCGTACTTAAATATGAATGTGTTTTGTTGATTTGCAGATTTGTAGTGGTGTGTGGCGACGGAGAGTACATCATCTACACCGCCGTGGCTCTGAGGAACAAGAGCTTCGGCACCGCTCAGGAGTTCGTCTGGGCCCACGACTCCTCACAGTGAGTTCTTAAAGGAAGAGTTTTTGGAAACACACCTAGTCGCCTTCTTGCTGAGAATAAGATGAGAAGATTGAAAGGGATGTCTTATAGCATCACTACATTTTTGAAATGTTGGGCATACAAGTTTCCCCCTGCTTTGAGTATTGTCAAGTCTACTGTATGCTAAGCTAGGCTAATGGCTGGCTTTACAGTAGCTTGATATTAAGTCAGACATGAGTGTGGTATTAGTTTATCTAAATGCATTCAAAAAAATGTCAACCTATCCCTTAAAGGTCCCATGTCATGCTTTTCCGGTTATTACCCGTCCCCTTGTGTGTTATGAAGGTTTGTATGCATGTAAACGGTCTGCAGAGTCACAAACCCTCAAAGTACACCCTGTAGGGAGTAAAACTCTAACACAGAAAAGACCTGTCTATGCTGCCCCAGAACGCCTCGTTGGGGATTTCTCTTTTTCCATTGTTTTCTTCTTATAGTGTAGTGAATACAGTGACGTATTGGGTATAGTGACGTAATGTGTGACTTCCTCACACACACACACACTCAATCTTTTCTCAGCTGCAGCTCCGTGGATTTCTCAGCCTGAGACGGCGAGACGCGGCGGGGTTCGGCCTGGGCTCGTTCTGAGCACACACGCAGACTCACAGCCAGGCTGCAGGTGTGTGTGTGTGTGCGTGTGTGTGCGTGTGTGTGCTCGGGCTGGGTTCAGGCTGGGTTTCGCTGTGTCTCGCTGTCTCGCAGATCCCCCGCAGCAAGCCAGCTCACACTGTCCCCTCCTCGCAGCAGCGAGCCGCGCAACGTCCCGCCAACACGGCACCCAGACCCCACGCAGCATTCTCATCTGTTTGTCATTACTGGTGTCATTTTCTGGTTGCTAACAAACGCCATTGTAACACATACACACTGATGTTCCGCTGTAACGGTGGTGGACTCATCAGAACAGAGTGGGCGAGCTGACCAATCAGAGCACAGTGGGCTCACAGGGAGCGGGGGGGGGGCAGGAGCTCCAACAAGCCGTTTAGGACAGAGAGTGAATACACATGCTATACAGAGATGCTGTATGAGAAACCAATGTGAGTTTGGAACATTGCACAATATAAATCTATTTATCAACAATGATCAACAATGGAATTATGATCAGTGGAAATGGCCATGACAAGGGACCTTTGAACTAGCTAAAACTATCTATATATATATATATATATATATATATATATATATATATATATATATATATATATATTTTGGTCAGAGTAGCAAACTTCATTTAGAATAACATTTACACATATTTAGTTCTTAACAAATATTGTGCTTCCTGCAATTTGAATATTGCACTAGACCCTTTTGTATTTTCAATAAAATGTAGATTAATTGTGCAGCCCTAGCTATAACTGTACAATATATATAAGAGTCATTAACTTCCCTCTCCAATGTGGTCTGGCACATTATAACCAAGTGTTTTCACAGGTATGCAGTGAGAGAGAGCAGCAGTATGATCAAAATCTTTAAGAACTTCAAAGAGAAGAAGGCTTTTAAACCTGACTTTGGGGCTGAAGGTGAGTTTCATTTCCTATATTTGTCCTTTTATCCTTTAGATACAGCATGTAAATGTGTGTATCCTGCGTTCCTACAGGTGTCTTTGGAGGCTTCTTGCTGGGCGTGAGGTCAAACAGCGGCCTGGCCTTCTACGACTGGGATAACACTGAGCTGATCCGCCGTATCGAGATCCAGCCCAAACATGTGGGTCATACTGTCACTGCGATCACATCTCCACATTATTCATCCTTCTATTATGTATTTATTATGTTATAATGTCTGTTTCCTCCTGTGTTTAGATCTTCTGGTCTGACTCTGGGGAGCTGGTGTGCATCGCGACAGACGAGTCTTTCTTTGTGCTGCGTTACCTTCCAGAGAGAGTGGCCGCGGCTCAGGAGAACAAGGAAGACGTAACAGAGGACGGGATAGAGGGCGCCTTCGAGGTACCACCTGTAGTTAAGAGTAGTTACTTAAAAGTGTAGGGATGTACCTGCAGAGCGTCAAGTCAAAAGTCAAAGTCAACTTTATTGTTAATATTTCAGTTTGTGTGTACAGACAGAGAGATCGAAATAACGTTTCCCACAATCCCGAATACAAAAATACAAATATGTATAAAATATGTATATCCTATATATACACAATCAACAGACACATTTATACATATGCACACATTAAAGGGGACCTATCATGCAAAATGCACTTTTTGATGTCTTTGATACATAAATATGTGTCCCCGGTGTGTCAGGGAACTCACGCAGCGTCAGAAAATAAAACCCTCTCTCTTTTCCTCCGTACCCAAATCTCTAAAAACGGGGCTACAACGGAGCTGATCCAGATTTGAGTCCGATATGACGTAATATCTGAAATGTGGACCCACGGCCCTATCAGAAACGTTGCTATCAGAAACAATGCCCGACTGTTTTGGACGTAATATGGTCGGTGTTTACATTAGCATCGCTAACACTCAGAGCTAACCTGTACTGGAGAGCATGTATGTGAAGAAGCAGGAAATAAAAAGGAACTCACCTTGTGGTATAACCGGCAAGAGAGAAAGCCTTTGAGCTCCATACTGTTTCAGAAAGAATCCTTGATAATCCATGATATGGCGTTTCATCACGGCAGCATTTAGTTTAGACAGTAGCTGCCGGGTCCCGCATGAGCTCAGCCCCCTCTTTCCTTTTTTATCAATTTTTTTATAAAGCTTTATACCCCAAATCAGCACTTTTGAAACAGGAAGTGAAATAGAGGGATATGAGGCATGGCTAGAATGGGTGATCTGTTTGGTATTTTGAGCAAAACACTTCATAGACATGTTTTTTATATATTTGTATATATCTGAGACCTATGCTATTGCCTAAAAATAGCTTGATAGGTGACCTTTAAGATAAAAACACAACAATCAATATATAACAGTAACGTAATCACATGACTACATTTACAGTAACAGAAAACTTCTTAAAACACTTGAAATTGTTTTGGAAGATGCAGATAGTTTACAATGACCTATACATGTTTTGCTAAATCCGATTGCTTTTGAAAAATGAAAATAGGGAATAATCTACAGGCAGGATACACGGCAAACAGAGCGCTGACTAGAAAGTGAAGCTATGTGGATCCTTGACAATATATATAGTTTTTTCTTGTACATTTGTGGCTTAAATTTCAAAGAATATTCAAGTTTTGATCGTGCAAATGAGTGACTTTAATCCTAGACATTTTCGTTAATTTATTCATTGTAAATTCAGGCAATTGAGTAATCTTTACACCTGTTTCTTCCTGCTGCCCAGGTGCAGGGGGAGGTCTCTGAGGTGGTAAAGACGGGGGTCTGGGTGGGAGACTGCTTCATCTACACCAGCTCTCTGAACAGACTCAACTACTACGTTGGAGGAGAGATCATCACCATCGCTCACCTGGACAGGTACAAGGCGTATTTCCATGTTGTTGAAGCAACTATCCACAAAGAAACTATTTAAACGCTGAGAGGGCTAATAAAGGGAGGTCTGTCTGACACGCTGTATCCAGACAAGAGAGCCAGAGTCAGTAGTTGCATACTTTCAAATGATCAGAATAACATCCATACATGAAGCTCTCGTAGTAGCAAAACCAAAAATAACCAGTTGTGATTGAGATTGCGCTAGGTTTGCATTTCAACGTGTTTGCGGTCTACAGAAATACTACCATTCTCCGTAACAAACAAATAAAAATACGATTTAAAAACTGCAGGGGATTTTTATTTTTTAACCTTTATTTAACCAGATAAAAGCATTGAGATAAAATCTCATTTACAATGCTGACCTGGCCAAGAAGGCAGCAACGTTACACATTATTACACATAACACGGACATGTAAAATACAGAGAACACAACTCAAACAAAAGACGAAAAGCAGTCACTACATTGTGCACATTTGGGACAGTAAGAAAGGTACACTACTTATTACTGCAAGAGCAGCTGGTGGTAAGGACCTCAGACAACTTCAATTTATTTACAACACACACACACCCACACACAATAACCTACAGTGAAAAGATGATAAACCAAACGCATTCCTCACCCCTACCATAGACAAGTTATTTAATTAACTTTTTAATGCTGTTTTATTTCTAATTTGAGATGTTTAAATGTTCGAATTGTTCATTCCTACTCTTTTAATTTCTACTTATGTGCAATGCCTTGTTTCTGTTTATGCTGCTGCTACGCAAACATTTCCCAATTTGGGAATCAATTAAGTAAATATTATCTTATCTTAGAATGTATATGGCCGCCACACATGTACAACAATGTTCCCATCCTGGTTTACCAATTTCAATGAACACTCTTCCATCCTCAGATATACAGTTATGCATACTGGACAGATCTGTTTTTTCTCATACTCCATTAGCCTAATATCCAGTAAATAAGAAACAGTGCCTTAAACACAGTTATTTGTCACGTGTAGGACCATGTACCTGCTGGGCTACATCCCCAAGGACGACCGCCTGTACCTCGGAGACAAAGAGCTGAACGTCATCAGCTACGGCCTGCTGCTGTCCGTGCTGGAGTACCAGACGGCCGTCATGAGGCGGGACTTCAGCACGGCCGACAAGGTGTTACCCACAATCCCCAAGGAGCAGAGGACCAGAGTAGCCAACTTCCTGGAGAAACAGGTATCCTACAAAGTCTATCCAGTTTATTTGTTTATAGTGTCGTGGACAGTCCCCATGGATCAGCTGTCACACAAAAACAGTAAATGGGGCAGCTTTAGCCAACATTGCTAATTTCCAGCTGTTGTCCCCGGCCAAATGATAATAGACACCTTTTTAAAATCACAATATATCAACAGCAGGGTTTCCCACACATAGACTTTACTTGGGTGGGCCGCCCCATAGGTATAATTTATTTAAAAAAATGTATCCGTCCGCGAGCACGACGCCATCTGCGATCGATTACCTAGTGGACAATGATCCCTCGCTCTACGCCTCCTATCAAGCGACCAACAGAAAGGTTCATGGTGTTAAACCTCACACGTATTTCTTGTTTGTCACATGTTGTTGCACGTCACAAAGCCACCCCCTCGTGCATGGCTACCACCACAAGTATCTGTGGGAAACACTGAACAGCATTAGTTATAAAAAAAAGGATGAAAGACAAGTAGATACAGGCGAAAGGATAAAAGAGAACAATAAACAACACGCGTTACTACATGCAGTACACGTATAGCACATCACAATCACATAACAGAAACGAGGGGAAACATCCATGATCACAACACGTAACACAACACGTAACACAACATGTAACACAACACGTAACACCACGTAACACAACACGTAACACCACACGTAACACAACACGTAACACATGTAACACAACACGTAACACCACGTAACGCAACACGTAACGCAACACGTAACGCAACACGTAACACAACACGTAACACACACGCCATATTCAACACAGACTGCTCCTCGCTTTTCTTTCAGCTCGAACTGCTGATGAACTCAGGATTCAGCCATGAGATGAATAATTTACAGAGCATCAGGCGGCCAGATGTTGCAAAACCTCGGGGGCAGAATTCTTGTTTCCAGATTTCCCAAAACCTATCCAGTTTGTTTTTAAGGAAAAACGTATCCTTTCAAGAGCAAGATAGAAAGTCATCCCATTGAGAAAGTTCACAGGTTGATGGTTCCTTCCATGTGCGAGCTATGCACCTCTTGTTCCTTTTTGAATCTCTTAATCATGGGAAGGGTTTGCAAATTAAATACAATATTGATAACAGTTTTGTGTGGTTTTTTCAGGGCTTCAAGCAGCAGGCCCTGGCCGTGTCCACTGACCCAGAACACAAGTTTGAACTGGCCCTGCAACTGGGAGACCTGAAGATAGCCCAGCAACTGGCCTCCGAGGCAGAGGTCAGAGCACGCACACGCACACACACACACACACACACACACACACACACACACACACACACACACACACACACACACACACACACAAGACCGAAGCTGTCCCAGAAATACTACATACTAACTCTATACAGTAATATTTGCTAATTGTGACAACGGTTCGTTTTCAAAATGTCCTTTACAATATAAAATGTGAATTTATAGGGAATCTTATTTTCTACTTTCTACTCTGTCCGCAGTGTGGTATTTAGTATTCATTATTTCTGCATTGATAATACTTTTACTTTAGTACTTTTTTACTTTTCTAGTTTGAAAGACTGGCTTTAAGACTTGGCATGAAAAGTCTATAGCCGAGCTAGCAGCTCTGTGAGGCCGCATGCTGACGTCCTCACAGTGACAATGCTAACATGCTCACAGTGACAATGCTAACATGCTCACAGTGACAATGCTAACATGCTCACAGTGACAATGCTAACATGCTCACAGTGACAATGCTAACATGCTCACAGTGACAATGCTAACATGCTCACAGTGATAAAGTTAACAAGCTTACAATGACAAAGCTATCATACTTACAGTGACAATGCTAACATGCTCACAGTGACAATGCTAACATGCTCACAGTGACAATGCTAACATGCTCACAGTGACAATGCTAACATGCTCACAGTGACAATGCTAACATGCTCACAGTGATAAAGTTAACAAGCTCACAGTGACAATGCTAACATGCTCACAGTGATAAAGTTAACAAGCTCACAGTGACAATGCTAACATGCTCACAGTGACAATGCTAACATGCTCACAGTGACAATGCTAACATGCTCACAGTGACAATGCTAACATGCTCACAGTGATAAAGTTAACAAGCTTACAGTGACAATGCTAACATGCTCACAGTGACAATGCTAACATGCTCACAGTGACAATGCTAACATGCTCACAGTGATAAAGTTAACAAGCTTACAATGACAAAGCTATCATACTTACAGTGACAATGCTAACATGCTCACAGTGACAATGCTAACATGCTCACAGTGACAATGCTAACAGAGTGACAGTGCTAACAAGACAATACAACTCATATCAGGGAACCATGAATGATTGTTTGAAATTTAATGAAATCTATTTAGAGATATTTTGGACTGAATTTGATTAACTTGTGGACATTGGAGAAGACTGCCATTTGCAATGACTTTCTATAATTAGTAGCTGTTTAATATGCAGGATTAAACAGGTTTTACAGAGGGAGTAATAACCCAGTAACTGCTCCACAGTGTTGTTGTTGGGGTTCATGCTCCCCCTGTGATAATCCTCTCTCCTGTCTCTTTGGCACCTCGGCATGTCGGGCTTCCAGTCGGAGCAGAAATGGAAGCAACTGGCGGAGCTCGCTACTACAAAGTGCCAGTTTGGCTTGGCGCAGGAGTGTCTGCACAACGCACAGGATTATGGGGGATTATTGCTGCTGGCCACCGCCTCGGGCAACTCCAACATGGTTGGCAAATTAGCCGAGGGAGCGGAAAGAGATGGGAAGACCAACGTGGCCTTCCTCACCTACTTCCTGCAGGGACGGTGAGTGAAGAAGAGGAACATGTTTGAATCAACTTTTCTATATTTTTCTAAATGTGTTTATTTTGTTCTCTGTTTTTGCCCAGATTGGACAAATGTCTGGACCTTCTCATCGCAACAAATCGGTTGCCAGAGGCTGCTTTTCTGGCACGAACATATCTGCCCAGCCATGTGTCGAGGTACAGTTGTTTCCACTGAGTGCACAGCACATGTTGGAGTATATTCCAGTGTGTGTACATACATCTCATATCAATATGTGACCTGCAGAACCTTTGCCTGTCATTTGTCCAAATCCAGATGTGGAGACATTATGCAACGGCTGAAAGTGTTTGTGAATATTTTGAGATCTGCTTCTTCAAATCAGCCACATTGAGCCTGAAACACCGACTTTTCTCTGCCCACTCATCCAAATGAAAAGAAACATCTCGTCCTTTATGCTACTAGTTTAAACATTAGTTAGCATAACTATTGCTCGTGATCAAATCTTATCTATATCATCTGATTGTATCGCTCTCCCTTTACAAGCTTTTAAAAATGTATTTCGATTTGAGCCACAACTCGACCAAGTAAGTTATTTTGCTAGAAAGTGTTAGGCCATAAGGGTTTCATATTCTGAAAGCCATGAGATTGTTTCTTTAAAATCAACAGAAACCCAAATTCACCAATAAGGTTTTATGACATAAATCCATGTTTATATTAAAATAAGTCGTTCAAGTGGGCATCTTTCAGTAGCTATACAGGGTGTCCGCGGGGTCTTAAAAAGTATTAAAAGAAAATGAAGGTTATTAAAAAGTATTAAAAGGTATTACATTTTGTAGCTTGTTTTCAATAAGTATATAAATTGTCCAAAGAGGTTGTATTCTACTGTCTGCCTGAATGTAATCATTGCGTAGGTGTGTAGTGTGATTCTGTGTAGTTTATTTATGGCATCCCGTTGGATTTGACGTCATCTGAACAGGACATCACACGCTCACTGCTTGATAGCGCGCAAAGGACCGTTTACGCCGGTTGTTAAACAACATCGTTATGGGGAAATGCAAGTTTGCGTCCAAATGGTTGGAAGATAAGGAGGAAGGACAATCAATACTGTATATGTAAATGTGAGGTAAAGTGTGTCGCCAAGGTAACCGGTTAAAACTCCAAGTGGCGATGAGGTCTTCAAATGTATGGAAAGGGTCTTAAAAAAGGTCTTAAAAGGTATTAAATGTGACTTCAGGATTCCTGCATATACCCTGCCATAGTAGTTGTAATATTAATACTACAAAGTTTCCCTGCTTGCACTATTTTCCTTAAGCCACAGCTCACCGAGTAAATACTGAGCAGGAATTTGGCTCTTAAAAGTGATTTGTCATCTGAATATGGCAATAAAAGAATGCCCTAACGTCCATTAATCCATGTTTCTCTTGAAATGAGTCGTTGCATCATCCGACTGACTGAGGTCACGTGTTGACATGATGCCTCAGTGCTGAGCTGCATCTGCCTCTCCTCCTGCAGGGTGGTGAAGCTGTGGAAGGAGAGCCTCTCGAAGGTCAACCAGAAGGCAGCAGATGCTCTGGCTGACCCCTCCCAGTACAGCAACCTGTTCCCCGGCCTCCAGCAGGCACTGCTGGCCCAGGAGTTTCTGAAGGACACTCATGTTGGGATCAGACCGGCTGCAGAGTACCCGCTCATCATGGTCAGTGGGAGTCAGAAGAACTATACTTTAAAACTCAATTAGTTATTTCATTCTGAATCAGAATCAGAAACAGGTTTATCACCAGGTAGGTTGACACGTACGAGGAATTTGACTTGGTGTCGTGTTGCATTCATAAAAGTAAAACAAAAATGTAAAACACAGATAGAGAACTATTTAAAGAAAACTATAATAACAGTACAAAATATAGCAGTATTTACATTGAAATAGAATGATATAAAATATGTGCAGTAAAAAAACCTTGATGCTGTAAACCGGGGTATTTGCTGCATAAATGGTCCAGTTCTTTAGTCTGTTGTTGAGGTTTTGCTTATTGATCATCATCATTGAATTATCTGAATGAACTGTTCATGCTTTGGGCAACATGTTGGAGATGACATTTTGCCTGCCTCTGTATTTTTCAGCCAAATGAGGACCGTAATGTTCTGGAGGAATCTGCAGGGTTTGTGTCCAAAGGAGAGATTGCTGAGCCAGAGGTGAGGAGAAGAACCTGCACCACACACATCTAATCACACATCTAATCTCACATCTAATCACACATCTAATCTCACATTTAACTGAATTCTTGACCAAAAAAACAATAACTGGAAACGTATGCCATTACCGAGTTGATATCTCAACAAACAGCAAAAGACAGAATGTTATTCCTGCCTTTGATGTAACCTGGTCTCTTTAAAGGGGACCTATCATGCAAAATGCACTTTTGTACGTCTTTTATACATGAATATGTGTCCCCGGTGTTCCAGGGAACTCACCAAGTGTCAGAAAACACAACCCTCTCTATTTTCCTCCATACCCAAATCTCTAAAAAAGGGGCTGCAACGGATCTGATAAAAACTGATCCAGATTTGAACACTGTCCTGACGTCAGGACGGTGGCGCTACGGCTATTGGGCCAACTCCACCAATCAGGAGGAGACAGCCACGGCCATTGCCGTTCGAAAGCACTGGAGACGCTGTAGTACATATGCCAGGCCTGTAGATGGTGCTGTTCTCACAGAATCAGCCCTTGCAAAAACAGGGCTAAAAAAGTGCAAATTGAGCAAAATGAGGCATGGCTAAAATGCATGATCTGTTTGGTATTTTGAAAAACAAAAAGTATAAATATGCCTTATATAGGTATGGTCCTACACTATGTTATTCAAATATAGCATGATAGGTCCACTTTAAGTATAGGTTCACTTTTGTCGAGTGTGGCTTTACAGTATACTCATATTCCCATATCTTACATTGAAACAATAATTGTTAATGGTAATTTTTCTTGCCATCAAAAACTGATTTCCCTTCCTAACAGGGTCCCAGAGTAGACACATTAGGGACACAATTGACAGTATGGCTTTAGAAGTGAGTAAAACTAATCATGTGAGTAACTATCGCAAGGAAAAAACATACTGTAAGGGAACTTTGCTCCAAAAAGTTACATTTGGAAGTATCCACAATGAAAACAGTTTTAAAAAGGCAAATGTAATATACTATAATCATGGAGGACATTTCTCCTGATGACTTAGTATTTTCATTTCCAATATTTAAATATACTTACCTTACACTTAATATCACTTGGCAAAAAAATGCTTGGTCAAGTTTTGTAATGTTGTTATGGAGGATCTCCATTCATGTTGTTGTACTTTGTGTGCACAGGGAGGGGTTGAAAGCATGAATGAACCCATGCTGGTAGCAGCGGTGACGGCAGCTGTTCAAGCAGAACCCGCCGCAATGGAGGAACCAATTCCAGTAAAACAGGAGATTATTGAACCTGTCCCAGCGACAGAAGAAGAATCCATCCCAACATCAGCATCCCCACTTCCTGTCACACTAACAGAAGAGCATGTCGAGCCAAAACAAGCAGAGTCTGTGTCCTTTGACGAGGACATCATCTCTAACCCAGAGGAGGCTGCAGAGGAAGACATTTTGGACTTCACCACAGAGACCCCCCCCACAGAGCCACAGATGGTACAGTCCAGTCCTGTGGAATATGTCACTACCGTGCATGTATCTGAGACTCATCTAATCGAGACAACATCAGAAACCATCGTGGCAACAGAAGAAATTGAGACGGTGGCAACGCAAACCATAGCAACAGAGGATGTCCTCGTTAGCACTGGGCTGATAGTCGATACTGAAGTCATAGAAACTGGTATTGAAGAACTGGAAACACCTTTAATCTCCTTAGAAGCATCAAGCGTCTTAGATACGGCAGCAGAGGAGACTCGTGTTTCAGAGGAACTTCTTCTAGATACGGCAGCAGAGGAAACTCCTGTTACAGAACAACTTGTTTCAGAAACAGCCACATCAGCCGTAGCAGTGGAGGAGCTCATCTCCTTTGAAAGCACCACCAGTCCAGACCTGGATGTGCCTGTCCAGGTCCAAACGTTTCCAGATGTGGCCCTTGATCCTCTGCTGGAGCCACTTGAAGAGACAGTGCCGACACTGAAGCCACTCTCCGCACAAGAACCAGAAGGAGATGAAGAAGTGACAGTGAAGCTGGAGGAGAAGCTGGAGCCTGCTGCGCCTCCACAGGCTGACCCAGAGCTTTTAGCCCCAGTAGCAGCTCCTGTAGAGGGGAAAGCAGCAGGGGAGGAGGAGTACGGAGCTGAAGGAGCTGAGGAACCACCAGAGGACCTCGAGGACGAGATGATTGATGAGGTCAATATCTGTTTTTAAACCTATTGCAAAAAATATGCTACCATTTGCACTTATTATGGAATGAAACAATACAAATAAACAAGTTATTTTAGGGGTGTAACGGTTCTGAAACTGAGACACAAACGTCCACGGTCAAATAGTGCAGTAATGTCTTCTATCACTGTATATATCTTGACGACATTCGATCGTAGACGATACCAGATTAAAGCAAATGGTTAAGGTGCTTAAGCCCCACTCAAATGTGGCGTTCACGTGTGCATTTACAGTTGTGTTGCCATGCCAGTATTTGAGTAATTTAACTTATCTCAATAAGCATTATGACTAATGAGCCTCTGTCAGGGTTCTTACGGTCATTGAAAACCTGGAAAAGTCATGGAAATTCAAAATGCTAATTCCAGGCGCTGTAAAAGTTATGGAAAACAATATTTTTCCCAACAGTTTTGGAAAAGTCATGGAAGTATGACTAAAGTTGCATCGAATAGTAATACTATAATGATAATAAATACTGTATCGTATAGTAATGAAACGTAAAATGGCAACTGTCGCAGTATTTCGCTGGTGAGAGATGTTTACAATCACGCCCTCTAGTCTACAGGAGCTACTATTTGATAGTACTATTTGGAAGTGCAGTTTCAACAATGTATGACTTCTAAAGGATAAGTATCAATTGTGGTTATCAAAAAGACATTGACCCAAGACGTGCTAAATGCAAACTGTGTTGTGAAATATTCGATATTTCGAGTCATTTCTTTTGGTCACAGAAAATGAGGTAAAGGTCATGGAAAAGTCATTGAAAATCATTGGTGAAAAAGTGTATGAACCCTGCTCTGTTAAATACTTACACTTTTCAAATGTAATGAAAAACGTACCAAACCATGACCCTCAAAAAAGAAATACATCCCAAACCGTTAATTGTGCGTAGCGTTACACCCTTAACTTTCATGTATCTATTGAGTTCTTGTGTCCTTCCTTTTGATGCAATGATTTTCTACTTGACTATTTCTACCTGTAGGGCCTGGATGATCTGGATCTGGATAATTTTGACCTGGAAGACATCGACACCTCGGACGTCAACCTGGACGAGGATTTGAGTGATTAGGAAGAGGAATGGTCCAAACTTTATTTCCTTCTCTCAGTGACCAAAGAACTCAAAGGGTTAAACGAGACCATAACAAGTGAGCAGCAGACTAACATGCCTCTATCCTTAAATAACAAGCATTGTGAACTGATCTAGTATAAGATGTTCTGCTTTTGGTATAATTGTGGAACTCTAGGACTACATTTTTTTTAAGTATAACATCTCCAAGAAGGCTGGTTTAACCTCAAATTAGGTGTGAGACCAAACATAAGGAGTGTGCTAATCAACGAAAAATGTGTAAGGGACTCAAATGTGTTAAATGGGAATTAGGGATAAGGAATAGAAAGGTGTTTGTTTAGAAATAAGGGATGCATTGTCGCCGGTTAAAAATATCCAGCTCAGTCTGTTAATGATCTTTTTTACACTACACATTTTTCTATTTAAACGATACTGCAATAATCATGACAGCGTCTCAAAACACATATTTACGTATCATTGGTTTTTGACATTTGCACCAGCATTAAAAGTAATAAATGTTACACTCTGTACTTCTTCAGCATACCTCAGGACACTTCTGTGGATCAGGGTGTTATCCAAGCCATCGAGGAAGTTTAAATACTGCCTTCATTCTTGAAGTAAAACTAAGTTTGGGTATTCAGAGCGTTATTTTTAGATTTATGTGTCATTTTGTAAATGGTTAACAAATATGCAATTTTGACAAATCCCCCATTTGGTTATATTCAGTGTGTTTATGACCTCTTGGTTCATGTTTACTTCTCACACCTTGTATCCACACGTACTGCTGCTGTTAGTTTATCAGATAAACTCCTAGAGATCTACAGTATGTTTCTGTTATAAGTGCCTTACATGTGTACTTTTTTAGAGAGTATTCTTCACATTTTCAGTTTTTTTTAAAAGATGGATGGTACTGTGTATGTATAGTTGAAATTTGAATAAATAAGCTTCAATCAATAAAGTCTGCTATGTCATCCTTTAAGTTACTTAACCCTTAGATGCACGAGTGACTGGACCCTACACTCTTCCACAAGTGGGTCAAAAAAGGACCCGTATTAGAATAATGTGTTTTTATGCCATTTGTCATGAATTATAACTTCCAATAATTTTGGTTTCACTATAATTTTAGACTTTTTTTTTTACATTTTGAAAAAAAACATTTTGAACATATTGATGCAAAGATCTCCGCAATTCTGAGACCCTCACAGTATTCCAGTCCCTTTTCAAAACTCATCTCTTGTCTACTCATAGCCCACCTCCCATCAATCCATGCCGGTTGATCAAGTTTGATAGTCCTATACCCCCCATCCTAACCTTCCCTTATATTGTAAAGTGATTTTGAGTCCTTGAAAAGCCCTATACAAATATAATGTATTATTATACTGACAGGTATCAGATCTTGCTGTGTAAAATAATCTTCCTGAGAGGTGTCACTTGTGATGTAGTCTGTGTGGTCCACAGTGAATGTATTCCTGACAGCAACAGGTGATAAGAATCAAAGGTTCCCATAGGAAATGCATGTGGGTCATTTTTGACCCACTTATGGAAGCTTGGGGTAGTAATACAAAAACTACAATTTCTTAAAATGTATACAATGTCAATTTAAAATGTGAATGGCATGATATCCAAAACATGTTTTTTGAGGAATAGCTGGAATATGAGATGATAAAAAAAAGTAATTAAAGATATTTCAAGAAAACCACCTCACCGGGTCAAAAAAGACCCACTTATGCATCTAAGGGTTAAGGGGAGATATTATGCTTGTTGGGATTTTCCCTTTCCTGTAGTGTGGTCTGGTAACACTCAAGCTTCTATTGGCTAGTGCTACAACACATCTCTAAGCGGTTGACCAATCACAACAGAGCCGGCCAGCTAACCAATCAGAGCAGACTGGGCTCTGGTTTCAGACAGAGGGTGAAAAGAGGTGCTGCAGCACAGGCAGTATGAGAAAAATAAAGAGCTTTTTGAACATTAAAGCATGGAGACATGTCCCAGGAGAGACACTGATATGAACCTGAGAATAATAGAACCACTCAGTACAAAGACATTTATTTTTTTATTTACATCATTTTGACTTCACACAAAGACGATCACAGAAACATTTGTCTTTCCATGTATAAATGACTAACTGTGCATCTTCATCAGTTTCAAAGCTAATTCTTTAAGTCAAGGATCACATACTCCACTTTCGACCCCAACACTGAAAGCTGTGTTTGACATACGAGATGCAATTTTCAGTGTATCCCTCTGGTCATGGTACCATTCGTCATGAGGATGAAGTTGTATATTTCTATCTATCTAGTGGTCCAGTCAGGCGCTGGCGCTCTTGGCAGCCATCTGTTCATGAGCCTGCAGGGCCAGCTCGATGTAGCCCGACCTCTGAGACTCCTTCTGGGCATAAATCTGCAAGCACAAGGGTCAGAGGTCAGCGAGAGAGGAGAGAAAGGTCAGGCCAATTACTTTGAGCTTGTGCCTTAAGAGTAACAGTAAGAAGTAAAGCCAACGAGTCTGTTAAACAAAAAATAAAAAAAGTTTTGCAGCAATTCCTCTCTGAATAAACGACTAACTTTGTGCATGATACAATAAAGCAGCGGTTCCCCCCCCCCCCCCCTAGTGGGCCGCCAAATAATTAGCAAAACGTGATTTGTGTGGAAACATTTTCATTATTAAGATTCATTTCCTTTCTCTTTCTTGATCCTCCTTAGCAACGGTCATTACAGTCCTTGACAGCGGTCTGTTCTACTGGATTAACAACGCGTCACATGTTCTGATTCGACCAATCAGAACTTTATTTAGCTTCCGTATCGTTTATGGTTGAATGTGGGCCGCGAACATTTTTAGATTCTTAAGTGGGCTCCGAGTTAAAAAAGGTTGGGAACCGCTACAATAAAGTTTAAAGCTATTCTTCAGTGTTAACCCCCCCACTTTAAAATCACATTGATAATTAATTTAGTGGCAGACTAAAATGAACGGTCAAGCGTGACTAAAGGAGAGGCGGTGCGTGACAGCGACTGTATCGGACGTGTCTCCTGCTGCTAACCCTTCACATTAAATGGCTGTCATTCCCAATGTCCCCCCCCCCCCTCTCTGCTTCAAGGCAGAGGGGCCGTGAGCTCTAATAAGAGCTGATGTGTCCGGGGGTTGGCCCCGCAGTTCCCACGCCGGAGACAAACCCAAACCCTCTCACGGAGGAAACTTAAGATGAGACGGCCTTCACTCGACCTCTCGGAGCTACACTGACTCCTGATTTACTCAAATGATCCTGAGGGACACGACTTATGTGACCGGGTCATTTCTGGATCAAATGGCAACACAACCTGCACATATTAAAGTAAACACTCAAATCCAGCACCAGACACTTTTTTTTTTGGACGCTGCTATGGACAGTCTTGCACGAATGTACATTCTCAAAGATAGTGACTACATCAACACAGGCTCACTATTTGGCAAGATGACTAAGCCTTATATTGGCAACTTAGCGAGAATCAACTCAGTGAACAACAGATACCAAGGATGCTAGCTGATGAAGACGACGAAGTAAGCTAAGTAGCCAATATAAGGCTTAGTCATCTTGCCAAATAGTGAGCCCACATTTATCTGTACTGCAAAGTCTTATATTGGCTACCTAGCTTACTTCGTCTCCTTCATCAGCCAGCATCCTTGGTATCTGTTGTTCACTGAGTTGATTCCCCCCCTTCCATCTTGATGTTTCTTGGCATCTCTTATGACCATTTATTTACGAGTTACTAACATTTATAGTTGCCAAAAGGGAGCCTTATTGTAAAGTGTAAAACACATTAATGAGTTACTACCATTTCTAATTTGGCTTAGCAGTAAAGATACATGTGGGCTCACTATTTGGCAAGCAACCGGTCACAGTTGCCCTGTTTATCTCATGTCTTATAAAAGCTTATTAATGATTTATAAAGTGTTCACAACCTAATTAATAAATGAATTACAAACTATTTGTCTTATATATAAAAATATGGGTACCACTTTACAACATTTGTTTTTGTATTCGGGATTGTGGGAAACAGTATTTCGATGTCTCTGTCTGTGCACACAAACTGACAATAAAGTTGACTTTGACTAAACACCAGGCTCAGTTGTTCTCACCTTCAGCAGCTCGGCGCCGGCGGCCTGCTGGCTGGAAGCTTCCTGCGCTGACTCGCTGTGAGGGTGGACCATGTGGAACAGAGACACCAGGTTCACTGCATCCTGGAGCCTGGAAACACACACACACTTAGGCTACAGATCTTTGCCAGCATGTACAGAAGCTGGCGTGATGACGGTTAACCGCTTTCATCTCCTTCAGTCTTGCCACTACATGAGTTGTGCAGGAATGAGTCTTAAAACCCAAATATAATTCAGCATGTTGCCACTTCTGGTTCCCTTGGGCAAGTTAGCCCTTGGGATGCTAACTTCCGAAGTCGGCCTTGACCCCCTTTTTTCAGAGTAAACATTTTATTAAAGGATTTAAACCATGAATAAATATAATGTAGCAAAATGTTTTTTGAACCACATTATATTTACCAAATAACCTGCATTATTGGGCAAACTTCTAAAAAAAAAAAAAAATGTATCCCCATTCTTTTATTTTCCATTTGGACCCCGTTTGATTCATCTTCGTAATGATTCTCAATAGTAGAATCATGTTGTGAAATAATTTGTAATACTTTGATATAAAACCACAAAAACATTTGAGGTGATATCGCCCACCCTTTTTTAGTTACCTAGTACCAACATATTCCAGCAGGAGCAGTATTTGCAGAAACTCTGATAACTGTAATTAATACATGAATAATCTGTGCATTGATTCCAACTCACTGCTCGCTCTTCAGCATGTGCACGATGAGCGCGTCCACCCGGCGAGCGTTCAGCAGGAACCAGGTCAGGCCCCCGAAGTGCCGGGTGGAGCGCAGCAGATCGTATTTGCCGTGCTTATCCAGGTCCTCATAGGTGACAGAGTGTACCTACACAAGAGGAATATATCAAATCAAACATCTTATTTATAAGGCCCAACGTCACAAACTACACTTAAGTCTCAGGGGGCTCGACAGTGTGTTCAGCTCACGGCACCTTCTGTCCTGGGACTCTTGCAGGAAGGACAAACTCCCAAAGAAACCCACAATGAAAAGAATACACACTTCAATATATATATATATATATATATATTTAAGCAATAGCTCACGACAGGCCGTGGTATATGGCCATTATATCACAGTTAAGGGGCGTGGTTCGGCCCGACGCGAAGTCTTTTTTTTCTCAGACGCGGAGGGATACTGACTTGTTGTGAAAAGTAACTTACAATTCTACCCGTGGTATACGCTCAGTATATCACGGCTAAGAACCAATCAGATTGCTTGATTTGACTTGTCCGTTTTATAAATATATATATATATATATAATCAAAGCTGAACTAACATAAAAAGGCACACATGCTGAAAACCCATCCCCAGAAGGGGGGTCTGGGGGGATTCTCATATAAACTATGCATTCTTGGTACACTCTGAGAAGAAAATAAATAAATCTATTACTACCCGACATATTAATAATATTTAATGCCATTGTTTGTTTTTCACTTTGTTCTGACAGCTGAACTTGTCTGTGTGAATTGTGGGTAGGGTAGATAGCTCCCATTGTTCTGTGACCTGTCAATCATCAAACCGGGGGTCATATTTCATTATGAGTTCATTTTTATCTGAAGTTGTTTGAAAAAAGTCAAACGCATCACTGGTAGAAAGCAAAGAAATCTGCCAATGAGGTAAGCCAATTTTGCTTGGCTAGTTTTTGTAAAATGAGCATACATTTGAATATGGACTAATACAATATCCAAATTCAAGTAGGTGTAATTTTTGCACAATATGTGTCCAAATGCCAACAAATTGCATTTTAGATTTTTAGTTAACATTTGATTTGGTGTCAGACAAATCCCTCAAAGATCCTTCCTTCAAATATAAT